AAAAAAAAAGAAGAAGCAGCAGCATGACTGGCTGGGCATGGTGGCTCATGCCTGTAATCTCAGCATTTTGGGAGGCCAAGGCAGGAGGATGGCTTAAGCCCAGGAATTCAAAATCAGCCTGGGCAACATGGTGAAACCCTTGTCTCTCAAAATATTTTTAAAAATTAACCGAACATGATGATGTGTGCCTGTGGTTCCACTACTCAGGAGGTTTGTTTGAGCCCAGGATGTTGAGGTGATCACACCATTGCACTCTAGCCGGGGTGACAGAGTGAGATCTTGTCTAAAAAAAAAAAAAAAAAAAGAAAGACATGATAGCTAAATTCAATGTGGGTACTTAATTGGATCTCGGATTTTAAAAAATACCTATAAAGGACATTATTGGGACAATCAGAGGAATTTGATTATGGACTGTATTTTGTGTCACTGTTAAATTTCCTTAGTATGGTATGCATTTTTTGGTTATATACAATGTCCTTGTTATTAGTAGATACATCCTGACACTTTTAAGGGTGACATGATATCACATTTGCAACTTACTCTCAAGTGGTTCAGAAAAAAATGTGTATACTGACCACACCCTGCCCCCACACACAGATAAAGTAAATGTGGTAAAATGTTAATATTTGAATCTAGATGAAGGGTATGTGATGTATTCTTGCAAATTTCCATAGGGTTGGAATTTGGCAAATTAAGAGTGGGAAAGAAAAGCATGGATTTTGGCATTAGACCTGATGGGTTTAAACTTAATTGTAAATCTTTGTCACCTGCTTTATTTTTCTTTGAGCTGTGGGGCTTTGGGCAAATCATTTATCTCTCTTGCCAAGGGTTTTCCTGACTATAAACAGGGTTAATAACTGTACCTAACCCCACAGGGTTATAAGGATGAAAAAGAATGATGCATGTAAGGGGCTGAGCCAATGTCTGGCACATAGTGAGTGTGCAGTTAATGTTAACTATTATTATGACCATATATATTGTCAATATATGTTTACATAAAGGGACATGCATGGGAGAGTTGGAATATCCCACCTTAAAGGAGCTGGTGTACTTGTGGAAAACCACAAAATACCTCATTCTCCTTATTTGAAAGACTTGAGGCATTTGGAATTGCCATTAAATCCCATTCCAGGGGCAAGGGTGGTGTTAAAGAAATCCACTGGGGATAAGGTGGAGGGTAGGCTAGGGAGGAAGGGCCAACCAAGGTCTGAGGAAACAGGGAGGTGCTACGGCAGGCAGTAAGATAAACTCTGGGGGACTCAGGAGAGGGTATGTAGTGACTATTGTCCCCTCTCCCCCTCCAGAGTGGATAAGTCACTGGTTAGTTTAATTGCTCTGCGCACCCATGCCTCCTTCTCAGAGAGCTTTTGTTTTCAGCCGTGTCATACAAATCTAGGATGGACATCAGGTGCTTGCAAGCCTTGAACCCCTGTGTGCTTAATGCTCATGGAGAGGAGAGTTCCTGAGGAGGAAATCAAACCAAGAGCCAGCTTTGTAGTTGCATTGAGAAGTTTAATGGAATGCTGATTTTTCATGTTTTTCAGTAAGCTCCTGTGAGGGGTGGAGATGGAAGCTTAGGAGCGCAGTCTTCTTTCCCTCCTTGCTTCTAGAGGCACGCTGACTTCCTTCCTGGTCACAGAGCCATGGCGAAGCTAAGGGTCTTCAGAGCTCAGAACCTAGAGACTTCCTTTCAACAAAGCAGTGCCTCAGAAGCTCTTCTAGGCTCTAGATGGGGGAGGCTTTTTTTTTTTTTTTTTTTTTTTTTTTTTTTGGGGGTTTTTTTTTTTTTTTTTTTTTTTTTTTTTGTGACGGAGTTTTGCTGTGTCACCAGGCTAAAGTGTAGTGGTGCAATCTCAGCTCACTGCAGCCTCAACCTCCTGGGTTCAAACGATTCTTCTGCCTCAGCCTCTCAAGTAGCTGAGATTACAGGCACACATTACCACGTCCAGCTAATTTTTGTATTTTTAGTAGAGACGGCATTTCACCATGTTGGCCAGGCTGGTCTCGAACTCGTGACCTCAAGTGATCCACCCACCTTAGCCTCCTGAAGTGCCGGGATTACAGGCATGAGCCACTGTGCCCAGACTGGGGAAGGCTTTTATAACTGCTGCTGTGTGGTAGAATCTGGGCACTCCAAGGAGGGTGTAGGGTAGAATAATAGCAAGGGGAAGCCTCCCAAGCTGGGAAAAGAGCAAGCAGCAAGCAGTTCAGATTCAAGGGCTCTCCATCCTAGCTCATCTCCAAAGAGTTGATGTATTCCCGAACCCATTTCTTCTCTGGGTTGGCACACACCTGGCGGTTCTTTCGGGTGACAAAGCTGTGGGAGAGGAGAAGAGGGAGGATGAGATCTTGCCAGTACTGGGACAGCCAGTTTGGGGGATGAAGTGGATTAAGGTATAAAGGGAGAGGACAATGGTACTGGGGTAGGGCATATTTGGAGCTCCATAAGATTTTATTTGTGGCTTTTAAGGAGAGGACATTTTCTCTTCTGCTGGATCAAAGGGCTCCAAGCCAGAAACAAATTTGTGTGCATTTTACCCACCTTTACACAAATACATGCAGCCTGAAAAGCTAAGAGGATATGAAGCCTTGAAACCCAGGATTGAGCCTGCCAACCACTAGCCTTTCCTCAGCAGTTCCTCTGTTCCAGGCCCTATGCTGGATGCTTAAGATGCAGAGAGAATAAGGTGTCCCTCAAGAACTGAATCATGGCTGAATAAGTGGGAGATGATAAGTTCTTAAAAGAATATCTGGACTGGGTGCGGTGGCTGATGCTTGTAATCCTAGCACTTTGGGAGGCTGAGGTGAGCAGATCATGAGGTCAGAAGTTCCAGACCAGTCTGGCCAACATGGTGAAACCCCATCTTCATTAAAAACACAAAAATTAGCTGGGCATGGTGGCAGGTGCCTGTACTCCCAGCTACTTGGGAAGCTGAGGCAGGAGAATCGCTTGAACCTGGGAGGCGGAGGATGCAGTGAGCTGAGATTGCACCACTACACTCCAGTCTGGGCAACAAGAGCAAAACTCCATTTCAAAAAAAGAACATCTGATTCTGCTTTAGACAACATACCTGGCACACTGAACAAATAAATATATGAATATATCTCCGCACAGGTAGGTGAATGAAAAAAGGGCATGACCTTGAGTCTTAATTTCACCGTTTATTACTTTGATCATTTTGGACAAATCACGTAACACTTTTGAGTCCATTTACTAAGCTCTGAAATGTAGATAGAAATAATTCTTTGCACAATTATTGTGAAGCTCAAAGGATAATATGTATGAATACAGTTTGAAAAATACCATTCATGTGTTGTCACTAGAATGCTCTAAAACTTCTGCTCTAGGGTGGATGAGAGCAATATGAGACTTTGATTCTGTGCCTAACAGCATTAAATTTTTTTTATCGTGGTAAAATATTCATAACATAAAATTTACTATCTTAACCATTTTGGGATGTATCCTGCACATTCTTGAGCCTAAATGTTTTCAGACAAAGTGAAGGCTTAGATTGTCTGATGAGAACGAGGATTTCTTGTTTCTCTTTGGGTTTCCCTTTTCTGAGCTTCACTCAGAGCCCCTTGACCATCTCTTTTTCTCTCATGTGCAGAGATGAGAAAGGGAAAGGAAGAGGTATTCTGGGCTCTCATGCCTCCTAGTGTTTGCGTTCTTATTTAGGGTGGTGTGAGAGTTTCAGACACAGACCCTGCCTTGTTCAGCCAGGAGTCATACAGGAAATCCTGCCAGACTTGCTATCCTCTCTCTTTGGCATCCTTGACCTGTTGGCCAGGAAGTCAAAAGGCCAGGAAACCAATACCTAAGGCGAGGGTAGCCAAGGCCTCCATTTCCTGCCCCCAGCCCCACCCCTGCAGATTGTGATGTCAAAGAACAGCCCTCCTCGCCAAATCTTCCCTCCTTGCCCCCATTTTTGGCACACTCTGCTTGCCTGACTTCCTCCTTCTGCCTGCCCCTTAAGAGAGGATGTTCTCAAAGTTGCTGCCCTTTTCTTTGTGATTTTTCCTAGGTCTCTGGCCCTGGGCCTGGCACACAGTTGATGCTTAATGGATGTTTATGGAATGAGTAAGTAAATGAATGGATTGCATTCATTTGTTAAATTTCAACTGTTACTTTTGTGTATGCAATAATGCATTTAGATAATGATGACAATAATAAGTTAACACTTATGCACCTACTGTGTGCCAGGGCATATTCTAAGCATTTTTTTCTTACTGTGACCTAGTGGGGGATACTTCTATTACCCTATTTGTAGATGAGGAATTTGGGGTGCTGAGGGGTTGACTGAAGGGCCTACACTCACCAAGGGTCATAGCTGGAGTCCTAACAAAGCAAATTAGCCAGTACTCACCAAGGCAGGCTGGATTGCCTTTTTAAAATTGGAATATGCCTTTTTTCCTAAAAAAGAATGTCATATTTTTAGCCCTAACACCCTTTCCTCAGCTACCAACCCTTCATTTCACCATTACCACTGGACATACCCATAGCGTTACCTTGCTGGCACCTTAGTCTTTCCTCTTTAAACAGTTCTTTTGCAGGCTTAAGGTGGTTCTACCCTTCTCCAGCCAGAGGTTGAAACCTCAGTGTCATCCTCAACCCCCATCTCTCTCCCGTGCTTTTGACCTCAAATCACCTACTAGGGCTTGCAAATTTCACCTTTGAAGGTTGCAAAGGTGTCTGTCTTTGAAACGGTCTCTCCTTTCCTTCAGGCACTGGTCGGCCTCCGATACTACTCACATGGGTAATGACAGGAGCCTCTAAACTGGACTCCAGTTTTCTCAGCTTTCCCTGTTCTAGCTCATTTTACACTTGACAGCTCTGGCACTTTTGCTGCATTTTCTTGACACTCAAAGCTCTCTGTGCTTTTCTACAAGGAGACTCTACATAAACTAATGTAGAATCCTAGGGGACAGTCCCTCTTCCTGATATATCCCATCCCTCAGGCTTTTCTCTGCTGGGCCAGATCTCTCCTCAGAAAGCACAATTTGCAGCAAACCTGTAAATCCCTGAAGCTGAATGTGTTTCTCTTTCCCTTGTCACGTTTTTTTTTTTTGCTGGGTACTGTAGTCATTGCCGTGTCTGTCTTGGCTGTCTTATTAGACTATAAGCCCCATAAGATTGGACTGGCATGATGGCTTTAGTAATCTCTGTCTGCTCATAATATGTGGTAAGGGAAGGATTTTCTTCTTTTGAAAAATATTTGTTTTCAGAAATAAAATTAGTAGTTATTAAATATTACCACTATACTTCAAAAGATTCATCAGACCCAAAGTCTGTCTTTGAATACCTCTAACTTTGGCAGTGTCACAAAAATTTTTGGATTAAAAAACTTCACCCTGGCTGGATGCAGTAGCTCATGCCTGTAATCCCAGCACTTTGGGAGACTGAGGCAGGCGAATCACGAGGTCAAGAGATTAAGACCATCCTGGCCAACATGGTGAAACCCTGTCTCTACTAAAAATACAAAAATTAGCTGGGCATGGTGGCATACACCTGTAGTCCCAGCTACTCAGGAGGCTGTGGCAGAAGAATCACTTGAACCTGGGAGGCAGAGGTTGCAGTGAGCCGAGATCGTGCCACTGCACTCTAGCCTGGACAACAGAGTAAGACTGTGTCTCAAAACAAAAACAAAAACAAATCAACAAAAAACTTCACTCTTATATAGGAAACTTCAGGTTGCACTGTTTTCATTTCTACTATAAATTTTTTAAGCAATTGTCACTAACGGCTTTGCTATAGCAGAAAGAGGAGGCTCTAGAGATTCATGCCTTATTTACTGTGCAGCCTTGGCTAAGTCAATAAACCTCTCTGAATCTTAGTTTCATTACCTGAAACATTGAGAGAATTATGCATACTTGTCAGAGCTAAGTGTAATTTAGAGATCATGCACATAGACATTTGACATACCGTAGGCACTTCCTATATAGTAGGGTTTATTGTATTTTTCCAAATGTACTAGCTCAGATATTTAAAGGTGAATCTCATTTCCTTATTTCTTCTCTAATGGATTTTTTTTTTGTTTTTTATTGACCGCAATTATAGATCTCTAACCTCTGACCTCTCCTCCCTAGTTCCTCTGAGGTTTAGGTGGATTTGATTGGGTGTGAAATATAGGGGACTGTAAGGTTCTTCACTGAAGGAGATGACTGACTTGATCTTCTCCATGTAGGATTTCCAGACCACGTTCAAGTAAAGGCCACACTAATAAAGATTGGAGTCCTAGGAACGTAGTCCATCAGAGTGGGCAGTATTCTACAAGGACAGCTTGTCTAGTCTTTTTACATTATAGTAGGGGACTCTGAGGCTAGAGCTGGAGGAGCTCTGGCTGCTTGCAGCTGGAGGATGGGTGGGAGTGGGTAGGGCATCCTCGGAGGACTCCTAAAGGAAATGGCTCTGGGAGGGTTCCATGGGGCTGAGACTCACACGACTGCTGGGATGGAGCACTTGCCACTGGTGTAGAAATACTCCTTGATGTGGGCACGGGGCAGCAGGCGGACAATGTAGGCAAAGCAGCAGGGTGTGGTGTCCGAGGCATCTGGGAGGGGAAAGGAAGAAGGGAAAGCTTTTTATTCATTGCTCCTGCACACTGGACATTGTGCTGGACACTTTGTATGATTTATTAAGAAAGAACTGTTGTCTTCCTTGACAGAAACTGAGGCTCAGAGAGGTAAAGTCACTTGGCCATGGATACCTAGTGGCAGAGTGGGGATTCCAATCCCTCATATAATCCTTGAGCCAAGCTTGTATCCATCCCTCTATACCATAATCCTCTGCCCTTGGCTCTCAGGCCTCTGCCTGGTTTGTCCTGGGTTCTCTGGTCTCATTTTTGCCATTCCAGGATCCTCAGTGGATTCAGAACTTGGTTTCTTTGAGACCTAGGTGGGTTGTGGGGAGGCTTCCAAAGCTCAGGCTCCATGACTCAGCCAGGATCCTAAGGGGCCTCAAGATATGTATTAAGCTGTAGTGAGAAGAGCTCTCAACAGAGAACTTCTTGTTGGTCAGTTAATTCAAGATGATGCTGGGAAGCATCAGTTACCACTTCCCAACAGAGGAGTAGTTTTTATCTTCCCAGCCAGATGGAACCAGGTTTGAATACCAGCTTCCCCAATTCCTAGCTGAGTGCTCATGGACATGTTACTTAACCTCTCTGTTTTCACTTCTGTAGGTCAAGGACAGCTACTCAAAGAATAGCTGTGAGTATTAAATAAGATGTACAAATATCAGCATATTGCCTGATCCATAGTAGCCATTTAATTATCTTTTATTATTCTCTCTGTTTTTATTTATTTTTTAAATGTTGGCTGGGCACAGTGGCTCATACCTGTAATCCCAGCACTTTGGGAGGCCGAGGCAAGCGGATCACCTGAGGTCGGGAGTTGGAGACCAGCCTGGCCAACATGGAGAAAGCCCTCTCTACTAAAAATACAAAAATTAGCCCAGCATGGTGGTGCATGCCTGTAATCCCAGCTACTTGGGAGGCTGAAGCAGAAGAATCTCTTGAACCCGGGAGGCAGAGGTTGCAGTGAACCGAGATCGCACCATTGCATTCCAGCCTGGGCAACAAGAGTGAAACTCTGTCTCAGGAAAAAAAAAAAAAAGTATTCACTACTAATAAAGCCATGTATCCTCTCATAAACCCATTTTTTTTTTTTACATTTCTGAAATAAGAGAGAATATGACTCTCTCAGGAATTTATAGTTTAGTTACATTTCTAAGAAACCCTGCTGCTGACAGGCATGAGTCAGTCATGTTTCAAGATCAGTGTGAGCCACTCATGACTACTAATCTTCCCAACATCAGTTCACACTTAGTGAACACTTGTGGGCCTTGGGGAAGTAGACCTTGACGACAGGAAAGTTGATCAAGAGATCCCTGCCATGAAGCAGTTTAGAGATCTCTCAAGGACAACAGGACACCTGGGTAAGACAATCCAGAAGAATGTAAATAATGAGGTTCAGACAGTATTCATATTACAGTTGAAAAGAGGACAAGGTCTGGGGCAGTCATTGGGGTGGGGTGGGCAGAGGGTCCGACTCCAGGGGCAGTGGTGGTCAAGAGCAGGACTTACATGGGGTGGCAGATGCAGGAGCGCAGAGGGTGGTAGCAACCAGGATGACAGCGAAGGCAGCCACGGAGACCTTCATGGTACCTGTGGGAGAGGCTGTGGGAGGTCCACGTGCTGTCTCAGGATCCTCTACAGGGATCCTCTGAAGCTCAGGCTGGCCCTTTATAGGAGTTGGGGCCAATTGAAGGGCACCCCCTAAGGGGAATTTCCAAAATAGCAACCAAGCATTGGCTGGTATCATAAGTGATATTACACAAAACTGAAAAGAAAACTGAAATAGCCTCCGGAAATTTGAGTCTCTGTCTCCCCACCACTGCTCTCCCATCTAGAGTGAACTTATCAGTTACCGCTTTGGCCAAGCACCAGTAGTGGGAAACAGTTTCTCTGCTGACATCCTCAGTTTTACATTCCAAGGAAGGGGTCCTCCTCAGAGAGCAGGAAGCTGCTTCCTTGGGGACAAGAAGGAGGGGCAGTTAGGATAGAATCATAAGTCACTGAGTCTTTGATTGCCTTCAGAGCTCTTGCTTATTCATTACAGATCTTATCTCCTTTCCCTCATCCATAGAAGGATGTTATTTATAAGGTATTTTATTGAGGAGAGTCCTCTGGACATACAGTCCCCAAAGGAGGTGAGTACACTCACTATAAATTGTGGCATGGCTGTTGATCTGAGCTGGGCGTTGGGGGACCTGTTCACTAGATGTGAGTTGGAGTCTTCTTGTGGGAGTTTCTTGTTTTCATCCTGGCCATAGGGTCTCTTCCATTGATTTGCTAAGCAATCTTTGGGAAAATTGCTTAATGTCTTTGAGTTCTATTTCCTTGTTTATAAAGTGGAATAACTGATGATAGGCTTGTTGAGAAGCAGAGAGAGAGAGAGAAAGATCTCTTCCAGCATACTGTACCATTATTGGCTAGCATTAACTGAGGGCCTGTCTGTGGCAGCCACTATTCTACCGGCTTAGTGCGTGTCAACTCAGTTACTATTATTATCCTCATTTTATGAACGAGGAAACTCAATAAATACTGGGATCTCATCTCAGTAAGGCCTTCTTGGGCACAAAAGTTACAGAATATGAAAGCTTCAAAGGACTTTAGGGATCATTTTTTCCATGTTTTTCAGTTGCTCAAGAGGAAACCAAGGCCCAGTGAACAGGAGTAACTTGCTAAGAACATACAGCAAATGAATGACAGAGTTGGGACCAGAGCCAAGTTGCCCTGGCTCCCACTTCAGTGGTCTGTCCATTAAGTACTGCCCAACATTAAAGGTTGGGAGTGGTTGGGGGTATCCTCGAAACTGAACCCATGTGAAACTTATGGTTTAGAGCTGGAGTCCTTACTCCATTCCAAAGAATTGGATACAGTAAATATTCATCAATTCCTATTTCAGTAGTTG